TTATTCATATGAGTAACGAATTTTATTTCATTCAAAGGATTTATCTTGTTAAATATTTATCAAAAATATTCTTTTGTGCAATATACAATCATTTTTAGATAAAAAAAAAATACAATTCGCATAACCAGAAATTCAATTCTTAATACATTTCTTTTTCTTCAATCAGGAGCACGTTCCATCTATTAATATACGAAACTACGATTTCAGTGAAATGCATCGCGGAAATCAGAAGAGCTATGTGAGAATATACCGTTTCGTCGATATTTCACATTTATCAGATACCTATGTACAGATACCAGCCCCTTTCACGTTTGTAGATATAAATATCGTTATGTAAAACAGGCCTACGTTTGTCACGTGTTAAAATCTAGGTTTCGTGTGTATCAGAGATTATATCCATAAATCTCAAATCACTTTCGTGGTAGTTTGATATAGGTAGAAATCAATAAAAATCTACTAAATCTTGTATCAATTTACGACGAAAGGAAATATTTATTATATAATTATTTGCTGTATATTTTCTATGGTATAAAAGTAGAGTTTGTTAAGTTTGAAGATTGTATTTCACGCGAATAAAAATATAAATATTTCAAATAATTCTTGGAGGCATTATTTAAGTCGATATAGGGTTAAGATAAAAGGGAAGAGACTTTCGATAAGATACACATTGAAAATTGCTAAATACACATTCAGTGTAAATATGGCGCCACTAGATCGCGACGAGATGTATTTCCTTCTTCAGAGAAAGTAACATAACCTAAGCCGAACAGCTACAGTTATTGTAACGCTCGAGTAGCTCACATGAGTATGTGAGCCCATATATCGAAAACCAACGCATCCACCCTATATATACCAAATTAACAAAGATATACAAGTTAAATAAATTATACTGCCATCTTTTAATCCACCCATTCGATTAAAATTCTGGAGATTTTAATTCTTTTGGTTGAATGGAATTTTATTCTTAAATTTCTTATTATCGACACGAACTAGTCCTATTCTGAACTATGCTATTAATCTATTATTCGAAAGAACAGATCTATAACACTGTTTAATAGGAATTTTAATCTGTAATATCGATTGGGTAGTTCCTGAAAACGAATATATAATCGAAATTGCCCTATCACTTTCAGTTTCCAAAAAATGTGAGTTTTTCTAAAATGGAGAACTTTGTTCTCGAGTATGTCGTGTTCAGGTTATCAGTGACTAGACTTGTGTCGAGGACGAATCGCAAACTCGTTAGTTTCTCGCTCCTATCGAGACTTTCATACCAATTTTTATTAGTCCGCATTTTCTATATTTTTCTCGAATCCCAATTTATATGGGAACATAGAGACACTAGAGTCTTTTGAAATTTTGAAATGAAATGAAAAATGTTAGCGTTGCGGACGTAGAGTATTAAAATTTATTATACCGATCTGAATTCTCTTTTATGAAACACTATACTGTTAGTAGCTTTTGTTCCGTGTTAGACAGGAGTATCTTTATTACAGAAGACAGTAGGTTTCTATCCTATAAACCACTTTAGCATAGCAAGACCTGATAATTGATATTGTTTTCCAAAAAATTATTTTTTGGAAACGGTAGCAAGTAAAGAGCTACGCACCAAGTTTATGATATTTGATATTTATTATGAATTTTCAAAGTTCTTTTTCAACTTTGCCACTTTTCCCGAATGCTTATAGCAAAATTTTACTTTTTTCTTTCGTAGTTTTATGTTATTTGGTATTCGGATTACTCGTAGCTACGGCACTGTGGAGCCTAGAGAAGCGAGCAATGGCTGTGTGGTGGTAAAACCCCATATACACGTCACTGACGAATGTTTTCTTTATCTAATCGAATTGAAAACTGTTTCAACAATTCTGTTCCACCGTTTCTTCTTGAAAAAAGTCTATAGAATACGCTATTGTATAGCAAACTCGTGTAATATATAGAATTTTCTGTAAAAATGCAAGAATACGTGTAGAAAGTACGCTCGGAGGCTTATCTTTAAACTTTGATGACCAATTAAAATTGTCCAGAAGCACAAATAATTATAATTATGGATATTAATAAATTCGGAATACTCTTACCTAATTTTTAAGACAGGAATGAATCTCCTAACGTTCTTACTTTTTATGTAATACTTCATTTTAGCCCAAAATTGTACCTTTTTAGGAAAATTCATATTTTTCATAAACTATGAATGATGGAGGAATTTCGATTACGAATTCGTTTCCGGGAAAGTAAACTCTACAAGAATTATCTAATGAATACTATAGTTTAGAGGAAAAGTTACAATTTTTTCGACAATGTAATCATTAACAGGATAGGTAAACATTTAATAAACTATTCAATAGAAGTAAATAAATGCTATAATACGCAAGAAGAGAATTTATTTTTCCTAATTTCATCTTTAATGCCATCTATAATAAAAATTGATATTTCACTATTATTCTCCAATTATTTATTGCCGTATATTTTTATTCTAACATTTGAATAGAATATTTATTAATCTTTTTCATATTCGATTATAAAACATGACAGTGAAGTTTGTACAAAAATCTGTAACATTCTATAAGATACAATATTTACCTCAACTTCTTTAGTCTAACTTTCCCATGAAAGTTGAAGCTTAGAGTTACTCGTCAGATTCGATAATCACCGCAACGAATCCTATGTTCTGGAATAATCCTATAGCATCAAAAGTTGTTTGAGTAGTTCCAACATCCACTTTATCAGAAAAGATAAAGTAAACGAGATTTTAAGTTTGCTTAGTGATCTTCTACCCTGGAGATCAGACTAGGAGACAAGTCAGTTGACAAGGGTCTCCTCTAATACTGATTCCAATTGTTGCATTATCTGACCAATTATATACGATAATGGCTAGTTATATTAAGCCTTTGCACTCGACGATTTTTTGATTAGAGAAGAGTAGAAATTCAAAGATTCTCTGCTAAAAACTGACAATACCTTTTTGAGCAGTAAATAAAGAATTGTATACTAATAGAAATGTAGAATTATTTGATTTCGATACCTCGCACACTGTTACATTACATTAAAATTGATATAGTAATTAATATCGATCTTCCAAATTTTATAAAATCGTGACTAAAGGTCACCCCTCGATTGCAAAGGGTTAATACTAGAGCTACCAACCCAATCAAAATGACTGGTCCCAGAATTTTCCTTTTTGCAATCACCGAACACATATACCTGCTTTAAGAATAAAATTGGTATCAACTCATATTAAGAAAGAACTGTAATCAATATATTCACTCATATTCATCGTATCGCTGAAATTGCTATAATCTGTGCACGTTATAGTTAGGTAGCTATTAAAGATCGGTAGTTCTAGTGTTGAGGAAACATTTTATGCGATTGAATTAGCGATAACGAACTCTGGAATATACTCCAATATTTCGATATGTTTGGTAAGAACTAGAATCGACCCATCTCTCCTACCATTAAATGCAAACTCTAATGTAGGTACTACTATATAGAAGGAAAAGCATCCTATTGTTCACATACAAAGATGTCCCATAATTTCTGTTCACCTGAAATATGGTGTTCATTATTCCAAACAGTTATTTATAGAAATTAGAGAATTTAAAAAAGTCCTATTCTATTGTAACAAAATAAAATTGGTCTTTTCATTAAAAAAGAGATCTCTACGATCTAGATAAATCACCCAACTTTTATAAGTTATTTTTATTCACGTACTGTTTACTGTTAGAGAGTTTATAACGTAAAGGAATAGCAGTCAGTGGAAACGGTGGAAAAACTGTATATTAGGTTGGTAACTAAGTGATTGCGGATTTTAAATAAGAAGGAAAATACTAAATTTTTTAGCGAATCTCAGATTTTGGTGTCGTCTGGGCTGGTTCATCTTGCACCATCCACGATGTTTTCCGATTAACGTAGTTATAAACTATCCACTTTTCGTCTCCAGTTATCAGTCGTTTCAGAAATCGATCAATCGCGTTGCGTTTCAGAAGCGAATCGCAGATGCTAATGCGTTGCGTCAAATGAATTTCCTTAAGCTGATCGAGTTTCTTGACATAGCCAAGTTGTTTTAATTTTTTATTTAATGCACGTATGCGATACATTGAGCTTCTCTGCAATCTCACGCGTTGTGCTATGACGATCTGAATCGATAATGGCCTTGATATGGGTCTCATCAACTTCAACTGGACGGCCAGATTGTTGCGCATTTTTCAGTGAAAAATCACCAGATTGAAATTTGGCAAACCAATTTTGACATTGTCTTTCTTTCAAGGCTTCATTCCCATTTACGGCACGTAACTTCTTGCGTGCTTGCGATGTGTTCTTGCCTTTCCGGAAATAAAACAATAAAATATATCCGAAATGCGTGTCTCGTTTTTCCATTTTGAAATTGGGATAAAAACGAAACTAAATAACTAATCGATACAATTTTTCAATTAAATTAAAGGCTGAAGTCCAAACAGCAAGAAAACAATATAAGTTAGGAGCCTTGAACACGTTGACAAAACAAAACAATGTGCAAAAGGCATCTATTGACAAAATCCGCAATCACTTAGTTACCAACCTAGTAGATCATTATTGAACGAGCGAACGGTTAGAACTGGCCTGTTTAGGGCCACGCAGGTCACAGGACGTCTCCAGAATACAGGAGACAAAAGACAAAACACAAAGGAAGGGATCATCCCTCACATCCCTAGGATGTAGAGTTTACTTTACTGTTTAGATTTAATTACAACATTTACAATCACGAAGATATTGCAGATACACAGTATTCGTAAGACACCCTGTACAAATGCCAAAACGACGTGACCCTCTTCATTTCTAAATGCTTCGAACAATTAGACCTCTTCTCCAAACCAAAACCGCATTTCGTCCCTTCACTCACCATTTATTCCTCGCGACTTTCCGCTAAACGAATTAGCCAGTTCTCGCGGGACTCGTTGAACCGTACGAAAATTCTCCACTGCTATAGTGAACGAAACTGACTCGCAAATGATTGGTTCGTTTGTTCGCAGAACCGGCGCACGTTCTCTAAATGCAATATTCTCTGCGGGGACTACCCAGCTGGGCACGAACTGAGCTGCGTCCCGGGTCAAATGCGGCCAAGGCAGAACAGCGTGTTCATTGGCTCTAGCGCATCCTTGCTGCCAGGTGGTCAGGGTACACCTCGTCGAACGAAAAGCGCATTTGACCTCCAATTCCTGGTACTATCAGAGAACAACCCGGTGGACCCGCCCAGCGAGCAAGACGCTCTGAGAAGCCTGAAGCCAGCTGGCGAGTCCACCAAGCTGCTGCAACGCGAACGAAGAACCAGTGTCTGCCAGTTGGACAGACCAGAGAAGCCGATCTTTCGGGACAGAGGGATGAGCATCTGTCAATTCGATGCTTCTCCAAAGTCCTGGCAAAGGGACCGCGGGATGAGCATCTGCCAGTTCGACAGGATGGAGGTCCTCGCCAGGCCTCTGCAAAGAGATCGTGGTGGGAGCATATGCCACTTCGACAGGATGGATGTGTTAGCCAGACCACTGCAAAGAGATCGTATCGGTAGTACCTACCATTTCGACAGGATGGACGTTCTGGCCAGGCCTAACTTCTCTCTTGGCAAGTCTCTGTTAAGGGAGAGACGTGTCAGTATGTGCAATTTCTTGGAGAAGGACGAGGAAACGGCGAGAGCTGGTCAAATGGAGCGACGTTTGAGCAGTAGTAATATCGAAAAGATAGAGAAAGACGAGTCGATCGAGGAGTTTGAGGTGGAGACTGGAAGACAGGAGATATTTGCCAAGTGTGTACCCAAAGAGAAGAAGTACCCCAATTATCAGCTGGATCAACCGTCTTGCAGCAAGACCCCGGATCCTGTCTTCGGGTACAAGGCTACCTGCGTGTAACTCGACGAAGTTAGGTGGCTTATCGAGGAAGAAGCATCGGAGTTGCCATGGTTGTCAGGAGGATAGTCTTGTTTGAGTTATGTTTGACACACCGTGCGATTGATGTTCCTCTGGATTTTTCATATACGTATGTAACGAATCAAGTATTTACTTTGAACGTAAGTCTCGTCTCTCGTGGTTGATATTTTTATTTATATGTACGATGCAAGTGTAGTTGTGTTGTACGTATTATGGTACAATTGATTCCACGAGAATGCATAAGTTCAGTTCACTTTTGCAGTTTTATGAAGATGAGATGTAAATTAAATATGCATTGTTCGGAAAGATTTTATTTGTTTTTAAATTTGTGAAAAATGTGATTCGTTGCTTAATTGTTCTGCTAAATAATTATACGGAGAAATTATGGCTACCATAGTCTGGGGTGTAACTGAATGAAATTTGACCAAAGGTTTTGAGTTGAAAGAAAATATTGTATTATGTTAAAAAAGTATCACGAAAATGGGAATTTGGTAAAATATACGAAGTGAAATAAAAAGAGAAAAAGGGTAGTCATGAATGTAATAATACACAAAAATGTGATAATTTTTTTGTCCAATTAAGGATAAAATATTTCGAATTTTAATCATTGCATATAAGTAAACGTGACATGGCTTTGGAAAAGATTCATATAATTTTTGTGGATGAACAATGCAATTAGGGTAAAAATTAACGACGTTCCTTTAACGATAAATAATTATAAATTACTGCATTTTCCACGAACTCTTTTAGTATATGTACTCTACATCATCTTCTTTTCTTAGGACTATTCGAGAAGTAAGAAAGAAAATTTTAGTGATTGAATGACAAAAATTGGATGATAACCACGTAAATTGATTTTATTTATAAGCAAATAATTTCTCAAAAACGTTAATTTCTCTTACAATGCCTGAAGAATATTGTAAGAGAAATTAATAAATAAAAAAATTTATAATGAAATATTTAACTTTTTATGAGTTTTATACGTTCCAGTGTTTTATGATGACAAACCCAATAATGGATATGCACGTTTGTTTCAACAATGGTAATATTCATTTATAAAAGTTATGTTGAAATTCAATATAAAGAGTTTAATATAAAAGTTACAGTTAATTAATGTGAACTGTATGTTATAACTGCCTGGTGTAAAAGGCATCATCGGTTTACAATGTTTCAAAAATACGTGGGAATGAAAATTCCAAAAATTACTATTTTAGTTGAATTTTTGACTTTGAGATTTATTTTTGTGACATTTCCCACAAAAGTATCTTAAAGAAATTTATTTTCGATAAAAAAAATAAAAGAAAAATGTAAGAAAAGAACAACAAAGTCCTCTTTAAATTATCTACAAAATTAAATACTTAGAAACGATACTATCAATAAAAATAGACCCACTTTCAAAATAAAATTTTTATTTTATTAGTAAACGTAAGTGGGTAAAACAGTATTACTAAGCTGGTTTATGTGAAACAAAGAATTAGATGAAAAGTCAAAATAATATTTTCCTATAGATGTATTCTAAGTTGAATCAGACGAGTTTGAAATTATGTACAATAATAATCTTGTATATTGGTTGAGAAAATATCGAATATATCGAATAATGAAAAACATGAAAATGTGATTGTAAGAAAAATTATTTTTTTTTTTTAGTAACTATACATAGTATCTGTTCATTGTTGCAATACAATATCAGATGACATAATATTAAAATATTATAAACAATTTATTATATTATTAATATAATA